AGTATATAAAAGACATGGAAGAAACATGGAGTAAAGGACTCAACCTGTAAGTCTGAATAGATATGTGAATCATGAAATATTTATAATGTCATGCATATGCATATAAATGTCATATCATGCATAGGTATATGTGTAGATAGCATCATCAAGCCTTTGATGACATCCCATCATATCTTAGCCTTTATGGGCGAAATCATAAATTTATACCAGCTGATCAGGTGGTGGTGCATATATAATACCATATCCTTTCCCAATACCCCATATACATATACTATACATGTATATAATACCATCTGGTAATGGGTCAATATACATGTATAAATGGATGCAATGCATAATGAAGTAAGTCAATAAGATCTCTCGAAATGTCATGAGACCCATGAACAAACGATATGATAGTAGGACATATGGGGAATCCAGAACATAGGCAACCCTAGAACTTCTAAGAATAGAATCATTTGTGAAAGTTGAGTGCTTGCTCGTTTCGTTGTATTATGCCAAAAGGAAAGGAGGGATAGACTTAACATACCTCAAGTTGTCAATGCAACTCCACAATAAGCTTATGATAACTAGCGCACCAATCCTATAGCAAAGAAATACATGTACGACTTACATGGCGCTAGTATATTACGTATCTCAAACGATAACTCGATTCTAAAATAAAACGGCCAGCATTTCCCCTGATTTTACTGCTCCCTCAAGCCTACTATAGGCGAGATACAAACACAATACAATCAACAATCCAAAACCAACCTAATTACACTTCAGAACCTTCAATACAACAAAACCCCCAAATATACCATAACACACCCAATCAACAAGCTGTCAATTAGCCTAAAACTGCAACAACGAGCGACCAACCTAATACCCTACCACATGTGGAATTTATCCAAGCCCTTTTATCTTTCCAAACTCGATAAATCAGCAGTAAAATAACAACATGAGTGGAATACAAAATAGTTCATAAAAGTGAAAAAATCGAACTCACAGTTTCCAATCACCGTCGAGTGAGTTCTAACTATTAGAAAATCAATTTATCAACCTTCCTTGATATTTAAACACTTTAATACAGAAATTAGACGTTTCTTAACTATGAAGTACCTTGTAAAACTTGAACTACAAAGAAAAAAGAGAGGCGGTATAATGATACTTACGTCATAGGGATCGTTCTGATGTTATCGCTTCTCGATTTCGTACCAGGGATGTTAGTATTCTTTGAAACCCTTTAGAGAGATCAAGGATAGGTTTTTATGGGGTTCTATGGTCGGGATCTATGTAAAAGTGAATTGAGAGACGAGGTAAAACCAATATATAAACTTTTAAAAAGTCAAAGAGGTGCTAGCTTCACACCCTCGCATTGGCCCATCTTCTGACACTTTTATCTTTTTATTCGAATGTCGTATGAACGAACGGTTAAATGCATTGGAAACTAAATTCCAAGTCCTTAAATTTGGTATATAATATGTCCCAAAAATACCTCATATAGCACACGAAATGTATTTTTCAAAAAGTTCCGTTACAAGGCAAATCCTTAGTCGGTTTTCCGCAACTTAAATACGATTTTTTTCCAAACTTTATATTTTCTATACAAACATCATATATAGTTATATCATGACTTTAAACGCATTTAAATCATGATTAACAAGTCTCATATTCATTATACATTACTTTGGGACGCACAGGGCGCAACACGTAACAACCTTCGTTCGGACTTGACTTGAAGTCTTAACATTTTTAACACACATCATAGAATGATATGATAACATGATAAAAGCATTTGGAATACATATTCAACATATATCTTTCAATACAAGCATATTCGGAATGGCCAATTTTATAATGAACAACTCGGGACTTACATAACTTACATAAACATCATGGAATTCAATTCTAAGAAAAGAGGTTTAGCCAACATACCTCAATTGAGATTCCTTAAACTATAAAATGTTCTGGAGTTCTTAGAAACTTAAATCTATTTTAGAAATATAATAAATTGAATCCAAATTAGGAAGATGATCATGGTTCTAGCTCATTTGAGCATTTTATCAACCACTAAGTGTGCATTAAGGCCTTAAGGTCCTTTTATGGAGGATTCAATCATCCCTCAATCCATTCTTTTCTATTGTAGCTCACAATCATCCTACACTCTTTGATAACACATGCATAAAAGATAAACAACTCCCCTACCCAAGAATAAACTTGCTAATTGCCCATTTTTAGTTAAATTTCGGAATTGATGGCTGGGGTATAGATTCTTACCTCAAGGGTGAAGACTTAGTGAATTTTTCCTTGTTACCCTTCAATGATTTGACCAAGAAATGATGGATAATTGGTTGAAGATCACTCCCCCACTCTAAGCTGTCTCTCACACTCTAAAAGTATCAGATTTTGCTCTAAAATGGTCCCTAGCCTCTATTCTAACGAAGTAGGATCCGGTTATAAAACCCAAAAATAAGGCTTTGGAACAGGATCTACGGTCACATATGAGACCGCATAATGCTTCTGCGGTCTGCAAAGTGGGCCGCATAATGTCCCTTAGGAACTGGCATTTTTCTACTTCACTCTGTGACCAGTCTGCGTCTTTAGACCAGTTCTGCGGCCGCACAATGCACCACAAAACCTCCCTTTGTAAAATTTCCAAGCTGGATATGCGATTAGAGTGCAGCCTACGAAATGGTTTTGTGATCGCATAATAGGCCATGAAAATGACATAAAAAATGGCCAAAGAGACTGCGTCACTCTGCGGCCATTCTACGGCCCACAGAGTGATTATACGGCCATATAACTAGCTGCAAAAATGCCTAATTATGCCAAACATTATCCTTCAACTTCTTAGTGCACTATTCAACCCAAAAAGTAGCTCGTCGCAAAGAATCTTTACAATTTTTAACACATAAGCCTATCTCGGCACCACGAAATTCTGGGGTATTAGGTAAAGCATTTTTTTTATTTATCCAGCATTAGGGCTCCAACCCTGAACTGAGCATTTTTTCTGTTAGCCAGCATCAGGGCCATTTTATGGGGCCTTACAACAGAGGTCGTATTGCTATTAAATTACTTGCTTAATTTGCAATTATGTACCTAGTCACATCTATCATCCACATATAATATCTCAATCTCTGTTTTCATTTATTGATACTTCATATCATTATTTTTGGGCTGATTTTCATGACATTATGAGCCCGAGAGACTGGAGAGATTGGTGACTTAGTGAGGCTGAGGGCCTGATTGTGGATATATTTATGGGATCGAGTTGCACATCGCAATATGCTTTATTGATTCATTCCATGATTGGTTTATTATAGCACTTGGACAGGATCCGCCCCTCCGGGGTCTGACTTATCAACAGTGAGCACAAGTTCCTACTAAGTGCTGAGCATGAGTGCCAAGTGAGAGTGCCAAGAGCGAGTGTCAAGCGATTGGGAGGATTGAGTGACTGTGAGGATGGAGTGAATGAGAGGACTAAGTGATTGATACTTTGAGAGTATGCATATGATTTCATCACTGTTCTGTATTACAGTTGGCATACATAACTGACCTGTAGATATCGAGATGTATCATTTCTCATTTCAGTTACACTTACATATCTTTCCTGTTTGAGCTTTAACTTTTGATGTCTATATTTCTGTAATGTATTTTTGTAATTGGACTGTACCTGTGAAGCTCGTCACTACTTTCAACCCTAATGTTAGACTTGTTACTTATTGAGTTGGTTGTACTGATACTACACCCTGCACTTTGTGTGCAGATCCAAGTACTCCTGGGTATGCTAGTTGCTGAATTTGGAGCTATTATTCAGTTCCGAGATCCTTGAGGTAGTTGTTTTGGCGTCTGCAATCCTTGACTCTCCTCCTTTATCTCTTAGTTTTGTTTGTACTATTCTACTTTCCTAGACAGTGTTTCATTTGTCATACTGTATTATTATATAGATGCTCATGTACTCCGTGACACCTCGATCTTTTGGGAAATTTTGTGTTGAGTTGTGGCATTTTCATCCAGTTTTTATAGGATTTTCACTAACTTAAACCTATTTTAGTATATTTTGAATTTAAAAATGTTGGCATATGTAAGTTGTCGGCTCGCCTAGCTAGTATCATGATAGGCGCCATCACGACATGTTGTGTTTTGGGTCATGACAAGTATCTAATCTAATCTCGAAGAAGATGGGGAGCCGACATAGGCACTTACTTGTGGTCAATATACATAAAGTGTAAAAATTATAAATGGGCATGAAATACAATAGTGATAATGGAATAAGAGGCAATGATTAAATGATTCTTTAACAAAATAACAAATTAAAAGTCCCAAAATATCACATGCTAATCTCAACCAGTAAGGGCCAACACATAACTACAACTTCGCAAGTCATGAAGTATATTGAGTATAATCAGACTCCTAGCAACAACATATACAAGTTATGTCAAGGTCGTACGACCTGATCCATAACAATCGCATACATATACTACCGAGGTCGTACGGCCCGATCCATGGATGCATCACATTATATATAAATATTGCCGAGGTGTTCAACCCGATCCACACTAATAGGAAAACTCTTTGGACCACGAATTTCGTGTTTACAACCCAAGTTAAGCCCGTAAAGGAATATGAATTTTCCATCAATAATTAATCATTCCACCAAATCTCTAAGTAATGAAGCCCGGTCTAGCATAATCTTTAATCAAAATTTACTTATAAACATAAGTAATTAAACTAACAAGTTGAGTTAAAATAGTGCAAGTATTGCATGATAAACACTACAAGAAAAAGACTTTTTAGGGACCGACATTTAGCGACGAGGTATGAATCTGGTCCCTAGAAGTACACTAGTAAGGACGAGAATACTACTGGTCCTTAAATCTCTAGTTTTTTAATTAAAATATTAAATAGCAATAAATCTTTTTATAATGTACGGTCCTTAATTATAAAAATTTATCGGGAGAAAGTGGCGCCATACCCAAATTGGAATAAAACATAATAAAATTAACCTAAAAAACTCTTAACTTTTATCAAACCTAAATCTACCTTCAAGTCTCATCTCCCTCACTCCTCATAGAAGTAAAAACCCTAAATCTCTTAAATTTTCATACTTCTCTCAAAGGCATTTTCTTGATATGTTAAGAAACATTTTTCTTGGTATGTTAAGGAATATTTTTCTTTTAGTTGTCTTACGATAGGTTTGCTAATCTCATATTTTGCAGGTTTGGGAAAAATACCAAGTTGAAAAATTGCTACCCATCTCACCACAAGTAAGCACACTTTCTTTTTCTATATATCTTCTGGCTAACCTTTTGTTATTATTTCTCAACAACCTATTTTTGCAGGTTTGTGAAATCTTTATTTTTTAATTTTTTTTGTTGGTAGAAATTGATTGCTAGTCAGCAAATATTTTTACAATCAATTTCTTTTCTAGATTATATTTGCTTGGGTGTCCCTTTGTGAATTGTTTGTAAAAGCCTATGCTTTGTTTGGTTTTTTTTCCTTCAAATTTGTTCTTCCTCTGCTATATTCTCTGTTCTTATATTTGAAACTTACACTTAGAAGAATTTTTGGTCTTATTCAAGTTGGAGTAAGGATTTGTCTGCAATTGTTTATGTTCCATAAAAATTCTGATCTTTACTTCATTTTGTTTAGATTGTTTGTGAGTGTATTTCTATGTTTCAGTCCCTTTTTAGTAGGAATTTAGTATTAGATTTTAGCGAATTTTTTTCCTTTAGCAGTAAATATTCGATTACAATACCTGATGCCTAGTGTTGTGCTTCTTTTTTAAGTGGAATGATGTGTTCTATAAAGCTATCCTAGATGAAAAGTTTTATTGTTGTTGCAAATGACATTGTTGGTACTCTTGCAACTAGTGCGTTACTTGGCTTAAAAGTTGGGTTTTAGCTGCAACTAATAGTGAGACTGCTGCAACTAGTCTCAACTAGTAAATATCACTATTACAACCTGTAAGACTTCTCTCAATGGGCGAACTTCTAATAATTAAACTACGACAACTAGTAACAACAACAACAACGACCCAGTATAATCCCACAAGTGGGGTCTGGGGAGGGTAATATGTACGCAGACCTTACCCCTACCCCAAAGGGTAGAGAGGCTGTTTCCAGGAGATCCTCGGCTCAAAAAAGCAACAGGAGTCGATATATTAGTACCATAAAATGCATAATAAAATAACAGCCTTAATGTAAGTTCATCTTAATGTAATTTGCAGTTGCTGGCTTACATTTTTGTTTTAGCTTTTCACTGTAAGTGCTATGTTAAATTTTTGGTCTTTATTGGATTGAAGAGGTACAAATTGCTTAATGTGTTAGTAAGTTTAAAAAACTTGTTTAATGTAATATTTAGCTAGTTTTTCTCAACTTTTCTAACTTTTAGTGAACTAGTCTAGGAGTTAAGGAGTTATCTTTATTTTTTAATGTCCTTGGATCAAAGGAGTTAAGGAGGGAAGACTTGGAGCAAATTGAAGCCCAGATTCCTCTAACTCTTTGCAAGTTAGAAAGAGTATTCCCTCCATTTTTTGATATTAAAAAGGAAAAGCTAAATCATATATGGGTAGCTATTGAGGTAACAAATGTGTCCAATTTGCTTATAAGCTATTTGCTACAACTCAAAATACATTTCCAGAACCTTACAATTTTTTATGCTAAAGTAGTTTTATGATTTTCTTTTCTATGTTTTATCAAACCTGAAGGTTTATCATTTCTTTGCTAAAGTTCTTATAATATGTCTAATTTATTGTAGGATAAATTTGAGAGCGATGACCTAGATATTCAACGCAATCATATTTTGGGATGGATGAAAGAATTGTGGAACAAATGGAGAGGACAATTGCATGCAAAGTACGTGAGGGATAAACCAATCCAAGAGGCTCTTAAGAATATACCAAATGGGGTAGACAAGAAACAATGGGAGTGGTTGGTAAAATAACATTTTTGTACAGAAAGTTTTCAGGCAAAAAGCAACAGGAATGCAACAAATAGAGCTAAGTTGAAGATGCCTCAACATATCGGCAGCAAGCTATTAGAGAAGTTATTTATCAAAAGGTATTATAATATCTGCTCTTTTTGTTTTCAAATATTGAGGAGGTATTATTTGATATTTTTACTTTAATGTGAAGGGCGAAAAGGATGGCAATCCACCAGATTTGGCAACTATTTTTTTTGAGACTCGCAAGAAGAACAATGAGCTTGTTGAATTTGATACAATTATAAAACATGTGCATTTCATCAATTAAACTTGTAAAAACTTCTAGTTATTGGTTATAATGAGAGTTTTTCTTTATATATTTTGAAGGCTCAAATTCAAGAATTGGTGCAGTCCAAACCATCTCTTTCCAATATAGAGATAGTGGAAAAATGCTTTGGACCTCATACTCGTAGTCATGTATTTGGTTTTGGGAGTGGAGTAAAAGCAAAAGACTTAAAAGATGGTGGTTCCTCAAAGGCCGAATTAAGATCCGAGTTACGTTCTGCTCTAGAGTAAAACGAGTCATTGAAGGATTGGTTGTCTACCGTAGAAAATGAGGTGAAAGAACTGAAGGAACTAAAAGAATTTTTCTTGATCCAACAGTCTAATGTCCACCCTCCGGTGGCTCAACACGCTAATGTCCAGCCTTCGGCATCACCATATTAGGAGAATGACCATTGATAAATATACCAAGTTAGTAACAACTTACTCATTTCAAATATCATTTAGTTAGTAAATATTTGAATGCAATACCTGATGTCTAGCATCGTGCTTCTCTTTTAAGTGGATTGATGTGTTCTATGTTGTTGTAACTGTCATACAGGAAATGTTATGTTGCTGCAACTAGTAAAATCCCTCTTGTCTTTTAGATTTTCACTGTAAGTGCTATATTAAATTTTTGGTCTTTTTTGGATTGAAGAGGTATAAATTGCTTAATGTGTCAGTAAGTTTCATGCTACTATAACAGCTAAAGGAGAACTTTTTAAAGCTGAAAAATCTCCCAGTAGTATTCTATTTAACTTGTTGATCAATGAGCTGAATCAACAAGGAATACCATTGACAACAAAATGCAGCTCAAACTCCATCCATGATGCTTCTTAAATCCTGCACCAATTGATTTTTCTTAATTTTAATTTACCCCATGCTCACCCAGCATGTGTTACCAAAGAGTTCCACCTAATTGACGTGGAATGAAATAGATCAATTCCACCATATGCAAATAATATAGATGGAGACAATCTGCTTCACAGAAGATGAGTCCAATACATATATTTAAGAATGCTTGTTTTACTATAGGGAAGTGATAAAAATAAGGCAAACATCAATACTGAGAATATTGTGAAGCAAGAAACGATAGGTGGAGTGGCAAAAAAGAGGATGAGATCAGATTCTGACCCCCAATTATATGGGACTAGTGGAAGATTAATAGGAGAATTTCATAAGAATATTTTTGATCAGAATGCTGAACCTAGTGCTAGGGACACTGTTATGACATGGCCTAATTATCATTCCCTTGACGAGTCTTCTCGCAACTTTATGTCCAAAGCCACTTTTAATGAGGATTCTGCCTGTCATATTGCTGGCTTGGTAATTTTCTATATCTGCAACTATACTAGTATTGCTAGCTAGGATTAATTATAATCCCCTTTTCTTATTTTGGATTTAACTTTTACAATCAAACCTCTCTATAATAATCTCGTTTGTTCCAATATTTTTTTCTGCTATAGTGAATTAGTGTTGTTATATAGGAGATATATATATATATATATATATNCTATTATATAGAGATGTTGTAGTAGGGAAGTGTCTGACGGTATACATAAGAATATAAAGATTTTTTATATTATTAATGTAGATTTAACTTATTAGTAACTATCATTTTTATTAGGTTAGCGATTAATATTTATTATAAGGACTTACCTACTATTACCATATGCAAATAAAAGCCTTTGTGAAGTCAATAGAGTTCTTAGACTATTTACATGTAAAAAATGTTTGTGGAGTCACTGAAGTTCATCAACTTATTTGTATGGTGTTGCACTGAAAAGTGGGCTGGTATGTATGATGTTACTTGTATGGTGTTGTATTGATTTTGTTTTTGCTGTGAGCTTTTTCATGAATGTCTGAGTGACAACAATTTATTAAGAGGATTGATATAATCGACCTCAACTTGTTTGGAATTAGGGCTTAGTCTATTATTAATGGCGAGCTCTGTACTAATGAGCTTTCTCGTGTATTTACTATGTAGTATATGACAATTGCTGCAATTAGTGATTTCATCTGCTGATACTTCAAGAAAATAAAGATGCTATAGCTTCCTCCCCATTACAATGGTTCTATTTTTTCATGTTAGCGATACAAGAAACTTCTACAATTGCTGTGATAAGAGATTTTGATATGTTACCCGCAAGTGCATCATTTCTGCATGAATACCTACCAAGCTAAATGCATAAAAGCTATCAAACTTCAGTAAAAATAAAATATTTCCTTATAGCTTTACTGCTTGATGTTTCAGATGTGTCTTGTGTACATATACACTATTGTTTAGATTTTCATTAAGTACATATAAACTATTGTCTAGATGTTCAACTTGAAACAAAATTTGTAGTTCTTGGTTGAGGATTATCCTTCTAGGTTTTCATAAATGATACGACGGTTATATAACACAGTTTTTCTAATTCATTTTTGTTTATATTCATGCAGCCTCGTTTACATTGCTATTTTATTTTTGAAGTGTATATATATTACACTTGGTGAATTTGGACACCTTTTCAGGTAAAAGGACAAATTATTAATAGAGTAAATTTGAAAAAATTATTCAATATAATTTTCTAGTGATCTTTATAATTTCTTATTAAAGGAATTTTTGTTGAATATTTTTACAGGTTTTGGAGGCTATCAAGATGTGGGTTTTAAAGACATACAATCAGTAGACTTTTTCTTTGCTAGGAATGTTGGACAAAATATCATATTAATTTTAGGGATGTTAGATAGAAGTACTTTTGCTAAAGGGGTGTCCAAAAAATATTTCACCATGGTTGTACAATGCTACTAATTTTTTGTCAGTAATTATTATATATGAAACCATATCTTTCTTTATTATATTATCTTTTTGTGATTAAATTTTTTATTTGTAGAATCAATATATCTGATTTGAAAATTTATGAAAAATTAGAATTTTGGACCACCCATGCTTGGTCCTAAATAAGATTAAGGACCAGATTTTCTTGTCCTTAAAAGCGTTTTACGACCGGTAAACTCGTCACTAAATGTTTGAAGGCACTAAATATTATATGACATTGATTTGCAATAAAGACCATATTTCTGGTCCCTAAAAGTATTTAAGGATCACATTCCAACTAGTCATTAATACCTTTCAAGGACGCTAAACACATTTAGGGACCAGATGTCAAACCCATCGTTAATAACCTTTAACGGCGGATGATCTAGCGACCAGTGATGACCAGTTTTAACTGGTCGCTATAGATATTTCAGGACCATAAATAAGCTTTTAGGGACCATTATTCTCGTCCCTAGAAGTCATTTTTCTTGTAGTGAAAGTCCTATGTCTACCAGGACATAACATGAATTTTAATTACGTATGGACTCTCGTCACCTAGAGCGTATGTAGAACCCACAATTAGTAGAAATAAAATTGTAAACACATATGAGATTAACTCCCTCTTACAAGGTTAGGCAAGAGACTAGCCTCTTTTCCAAAACCACTTCTCGATCCACAAATCACACTAAAAGCCTCAAGTCAACGTCGAACAATCCGAAACTAGACAAAGGTTGTACAAACTAATCAATACTTGCTCAAAATTTTATAATTTAACTATTAGAGTAATTCCCCAACCCAATTTAGAAAATTTCTAAAATTCACCCTCGGGGCCACGTGTAACGACCTAGCCGGTCGTTTCATGAGTTACTGCTCTATTTTCCCCATTTCTGCTTCTTTATGTGTTGTTTACCTGTATTTCATCGTATCATATTGGTAAGTTTGGGTTCGGAGTGGTTTTGTAGAGGAACGAGACACTTAGTCTCTTTTGAGTAAGCTTAAGTTGGAAAATTTAATCGGATGTTGACTTATGTGTAGAAGGTTCCGGATGTGAATTCTGATGGTTGAGATAGCTTTGTTATGTGATTTTGTATATAGTAGCATGATCAGAATGTATTTTGGAGGTACGTGGAAGATTTAGGCTTGAATTGGTGAAATTGAAAATTTGGCCTTTTTCGGTCGGTAGTGAAAATTTTGATATAGAGGTCGGATTGGAATTCTAGAAGTTGGAGTAGGTCCGTTGTGTCATTTGTGACGTGCGTAAATTTTTTTATGTAATTCGAATGAGGTTTTGATAGGTTTTTGCATCCGTTGCGGAATTCGGAAGTTTGGAAATACTTAGGCTTGAATCCGATGATGATTTGATATTTTAATGTTGTTTTGAGTGTTTCAAAGGTTGGAACAAGTTTGAATGATTTTATGGGATGTTTTGGCATGTTTGGTTGAGGGCCCGAGGGCCTCAGGTGAGTTTCGGATGCTCAACGGATTTTTTTGGACTTAAGAAGATGACAAATTTTGCTGGTATTTTATTGCAGAAGGTTTGTTCCTCGCGTTCGCGAAGATTGTCCCACGTTTGCGAAGAAGGGTTTGGTCTAGGGGAGAAAATGCTCATCACATTCGCGAGTCTGGGAAGGCATTCGCGTAGGTTTGGATTCCAGTGAATCGCGAACGCGTTAAAGGTGTCACATTTGCGTAGGGAAGTTGGAGCAGCTGGGACCCTAGGAGTTTGCTCATCTCGTTCACGTAGGAAGGGTCGCATTCGCGAAGGCTTTGGCAGCTGCAGCTTCGCGTTCGCAGGAAAGAGCTCACGTTCGCGAAAGAGGAAAAAGGTGAGCGGTGGATTTTTGTTCTATGTGAACGCGAGGAGGCGGTGCGTTCGTGGTAAAGGAAGCACCTGAGCAGAAAGTATAAAAAGTCAACTTCGTAATTTTCAGCTCATTTCTCACCATTTTTTATCCGCTTTGAAGCTTTTTGAGAGAAATTGAAGGGGGATTCGTGGGCTAACATTTGGATGTAAGGTTTTTGAACTCAATACTCGATTCTATGGTGATTTCTTACTAATTAGACATGAAATATGTGGGATTTAAGGGTTACAAATTTAGGGATTAGGGCTTGAAATTGGAGAGCTTAAATTGGGGATTTGAGGGGCCATTTGAGGTCCGATTTTGATGTTCTTAGTATGTATAGACTTGTGGAAGAATGAGGATTCTTGTGATGTAATTTTTATCGAATTCCGAGACATGGGCCCGGGGGTCGGGTTTGGCCAATTTCGGAATTTTTGAGATAATTTGACAAATTTCGTATGGGTTTCATTCCTTTTATATTGATGATAATATACTGATTTTGGTTGGATTCGGGAAATTTGGAGGCCGAATCCTGTGGCAAGGGCGTCGCGGGCTATAGTTTGGCTTGGCTTGAGGTAAGTAACACTTCCAAACATGATTCTGAGGGTTCGAAACCCCAAACTATGTGTTCTATGATTATTACTGAGGTGAAGCAAATGCCAAGTGACGGGCGTGTGGGAGTGCACCGCTAGAATTGCAACCTGGATCATTATATGGTACTACTTAATAACTCTATCTTGTTGATATCTGTGTTTTTATCATGTGATTAAGTAAATGTGTTGTAAAAACATGCTAGATATCCTGTTAGGGCTTCACCCCGATACTGTTGAGACCCGAGTGGTTGTTTCTTGCTGTTATCTCATTACATGCATTGATATTCTATACTCAGTCTTGCTCATACATATCATATCATGTCTCAGTCTCAGTTATAATTATTTGGCACATCATATCATTGTTTCGGGCTAGTTTCATGACATTGTGAGCCCGTGTTTGTGAGACTGGAGAGTGATGACTGAGTGAGGCCGAGAGCCTAATTGTGAGTGACAGTTATGGGATCGAACTACACGGTGTAGCGAATATGTTGATGATTATGATAGCGCTTGGGCTGTAGGAGCCCCTTCAGAGTCAGTAACACACCCCTAGTGAGCGCAATTGATTATATTCGGGGATGGATCTCCCTTGATATGGAGATGGATCTTCTCCATGAGGCTTGTTGGACTATTCCTTGGTACTGGAAACCGATGATCTGTGATGTGTATAAATTTCGAGATGGATATTCCCTGGGCCTTGTGAGCCATATACAGTACCAAGTGGTTGTGAGGTTGTTATCATTGTTATTATATGGAGATGGATCTTCTCCACAGGCTAGATTGGCCTTCCTCAATACTAACTGACTGCTGTTAGAGATGTATATATTCTGGGATAGATCTTTCCTGGGCCGTATGAGCCATATACAGTACTGAGTGGACGAGCATTTGAGATTGTGGGCACATAAGGCACTCAGCATGGTGCATTCCATACAGCTAGTGCACTGACATATAGATGTATCAGAGTCTCATTTCTTTACCATGTTCATATCTGCTTTATTCCTTGTTTTGAACTGTCTATTTAGTTGAAAGCATGCCTACGTTTCTGTACGTAATTCCTGATATCTTTGAGGAGGTTGAGTTCATCACTACCTCTCAGTCCATAGTTTGGACTTGTTACTTGCTGAGTTGGTGTATTCACGTTACCTCCTGCACCTTGTGTGCAGATCCAGGTATATCAGGCCACGGTAGTGGTTGCTGATCATTTTAGTCGTGGGCTTTCATTGGAGATAGCGAGGTAGCTGCCTGGCAATCGCAGTCCCGCCTTTATCCTTTCTTATCTTCCTCTTAGTGTATTTGTTGGCTATTCTTAGACTATGTTAGTCTTGTTTTATTTCGAATAGTTGTAGTATTTTTCTCATGACTTAATGACAGTCGAGGTCGGGCTTTTATTTTACGCTTTGTGTTGATTTTTACTTTATATCTTTAATCGGATTTCAGTTGAAAACAAGGTTGTACTTAAGTTTTAAATGAAATATTGATTATTTGGAAATGAGTTGGCTAGCCTAGTTTCACGATAGGCACCATCACGACTAGGTCGGTTTTGGGGTCATGACAAGTTGGTATCAGAGCCTAGGTTACATAGGTCTCACGGGTCATAAGCAGGTTTAGTAGAGTCTTGCGGATCAGTATAGGGACATTTGTACTTATCTTCGGGAGGCTGCAGAACCTTTAGGAAAAACTTCACATTCTTGAATTCTTGTCGTGCGGATATGTTGATTTTGGTACTAAACTTTTGTTATTCTATTCCCTCACGGATGATGAGGATACGTGCTATCAGTTAGGACGGACGACCACCAGTACCACCAGTTGGGGCCATTAGAGGCCGAGGTCGTGGTCGAGGCCATGGTAGGGGAAGGGATGTAACCAGCACTGCAGCTACGATAACACCTATAGATCCATTAGCCGCCCAATTCATGATCAGGCTCCAGCAAGGGATGCTCCAACAGTACTAGCTCAGGCACCGACTGCGCCTATTGTTATTCCGGGTCTTCAGGAAACCTTGGCTTAGATTCTGACCATGTGCACTAGTCTTACTCAAGCTGTCGTAGTTTCTACTACAACAGCTACTTCTTAGGCTAGGGGAGGCACTCAGACTCCCGCTGCTCGTACACCCGAGTAGGTTGTGTAGGGACTCCAGACACCGGAGGTACCACCAGCCCAGCCTGTTGCACCTGCTCAGGATTATGTGGTTCCAGTTATGCTTGATGATGAGCAGCGTCGATTAGAGAGATTTGGTAGACTTCAGCCTCCGACTTTTAGTGGTACAGAGGATGAGTATGCCTAGGGTTTCTTGGATAAGTGTCAGAGGATTCTACGTATAGAATGTAATTCGGAGATTAGTGGGGTCTCATTTACTACTTTTTAGTTTTCTAGAGCTGCGTTCACTTAGTGGGAGGCTTATGAGAGGCGTAGGCCTGTTGGTGCAGTGCCCTTACCTGGTAGCAGTTCTCTGCTCTCTTCCTGTAGAAGTATGTAACGCAGTCCTGCAGAGAGGAGCTGCACAAGCAGTTTGAGCAGTTGTGTCAAGATGATATGGCTGTGACGCAATATGAGATAAGGTTTTCTGAGTTAGCCCGTCATGCTATTTGGTTGGTTACTACATATAGGGAG